TGTGTGCAGGAAGTGGGCGACGAGCCAAACCATCGCTTCAGAGGCCTCCTATGACATTATAAAACCAAAGCTGCTGGGGAGATGTGACGCCAGTAGTGGTCAGATTTCCCGCCATCCACAGCACCTCTTCCACGGAAGAGATGGCAGTCAACTCATCCAGACTCGCGGAGACGGAAGACGGTCAGGGGGTCCGTCAGAACATTTAGATCCGTAGATACCAGCTCTATCTATGCCAACCCAGCAATCTCCTGTCTACCCATGAGCCAGTATACGCCCATTTTTCCTTGGTAGTGAGTAGGACATCTAAAGCCAGGCACCAAATGAGTTCTGATACACGAGTGTGACTTGCTGTGTGAAAGCCACTAAGCTCGGTGCCACAGAGACATCCAGAAGCTCTGGGACACGCAGCAGCCAAAGTGCAAGGACAGAGGAGGAGGCACCATGGAGGGCACCAGAAGACTGGGACAGGGACAAAGAGACATTGAGGTACGAGAATGGACTGCTGCAGTGGCACAAATGGGCGCTATTACGGAACTGTGGAGCCCCGGGATGGGGTATTATACCGTGTTATCGCGGGGCCGTGCTATCACAGAGGGAAGGAACAGCGGCAGTGCGACAGAATTCTAAAACACTGTGATAGCTCATGGGGAACACTATTTTAGGAGTAGAGCACTGCTCTGGAACACTGGAGCACTGACATGAGAAGGTGGAGCTACAGTGGAGAGCAGAGCATCGTGATGGGATATGGAGCACTCTGATGGGACAGTGGAGCACCACGAAGGGAGAGTGCAGCATGGCGATGGGGCAGTGATTAGACAGGAGAACCACGTGTCAAGACAGTGGGGCCTTGTGGCAATGTTTGGATGTACAGTAGAACTTTCTGGTAGTACAGTGGAGTATTGCGACTGGATGGTGGAGCACTGTGACGGGACGGTGGAGCACTTTGATGGGACAGTGGAGCACTGTGACAGTGGAGCACTGTGACTGGATGGTGGAGCACTCTGATGGGACAGTGGAGCACTGTGACGAGATGGAGCATTACATTGGGACTAAGCATTGTGATGAGACAGATGGGGATTGTGGTAGGACAATGGAGTATTGTGATAATACCACTGTTGTGGTATTATGATGGGACAATGGAGGACTGTGACGGGACAGTGGAGCACTGTGATGCCACAGTAGAGCACTGTCTTGGGACAGTGGAGCATTATCTTGGGACAGAGGAGCACTATCTTGGGACAGAGGAGTACTGTCTTGGGACAGTGGAGCATTATCTTGGGACAGAGGAGCACTATCTTGGGACAGAGGAGTACTGTCTTGGGACAGTGGAGCACTGTCTTGGGACAGAGGAGCACTACAATGAGACAATGGAGCATTGTAAAGGGGCAAAAACGTGGGTTGAGTTAGATTCACCTTGTGATAATACAGTGGAGTGTTGCAATGAATCAGGAGAGCAAAGCATTGTGATAGGACAATGGAGCACCATGATAATAGTGAAGAGATAAGAGAGCATGGTGACTTGACAGTGGAAAACTAGGACTGGACAGCTGAACATTTCATAAGACAGGAGAGCTCTGTGACGGGACAGTGGAGCACTATGATGGAGCACTGTGGCGGACAGTGGAGCACTGTAATAGAACCGTGGAGCACCGTGGTGGCAGAGTAGAGTCCAAGGGTAGGAAAATAGAGCACTGTGGTGAGAAAGTAAAGGATTCCCATGGGGCGATGGAGCACTCTGATGGTGTGGTGGAACACTCTGATGGTGTGGTGGAGCACTCTGATGGGACAGTGGAGCACTCTGATGGTGTGGTGGAGCACTCTGATGGTGACGGTGGAGCACTCTGATGGGACGGTGGAGCACTCTGATGGGACGGTGGAGCACTCTGATGGGACGGTGGAGCACTCTGATGGGGTGGTGGAGCACTCTGACGGGGCTCAGAGGAGTTTAGACAAAGGATAATGAGTACATGGTCCACCTGTACTGTGCCATCACAGCGCTCCTTTGTCACAACACAACACTGTGTTCCACTGTAGTATCCTGTCACAGTGTGCGCCTGTCTTATCACAATGCTCTGCCCCGTCACAGTGCTCCACTGTACTCAGAGTGAGTCTGAGGCCTATGTAAGTCAAATATTAAAATTTTTATTTAAAGAAAAATAACAGTGCTAACAGTGGACTCTGGAATGCCAGCAAAACATTAAACAAACGTTACTCCCTGCCATGCTCAGATCAATAATTGTGTGTCAAATTCCCTGGGGCCTCAGGGAAGTGAGCTACGTGCTATGAGGACTCTTTCCTCATAGTTCAGGGCTGACCTGGCTCAGACCTTGCAGGCCAGGAGAGCTGCTGTCACTCAGCCACTGGCGGCAGCCTCAGCTATGAAGCAGCTGCTTATCTGCTGACTAAATAGAATCTTGATAAGCGGGGACCCAGGCCCTTTCCCAGACACCCGTCCCATCCGTTCAGGTGCTCCGTGGCCCCGTTCCTAGCTCTGCACATTAAACTGCTCCACCTGTTTTGATGTGAGTGAGAATTGGGGTTCATTTCCTGCACATCCAGCTTGGGGCTGCGACCACCACACACGTTCTCCATGGTAACGCACCGGCCCCTTCTGGAAGCCCTCAAATCTGCTTGCTTAACAGTAACCAAAGGACAATCCCACCAAGTCAGCCAATGGAAAGGCACTCATTAACTGCCTTTCCCAGAGTTAAAAGGTCTCTAACGAGCAGCCATTGAAAGTAGACATTCAGAGTTGTGTTTCCCTGGGCTGTGGGCTAAATTGGGCTGTTTAGCTTGAAGGAAAAGGGCAGTGCATCCTCACCCAGAACAGGCAAAAGGTCAGCACATCCACCCCTCTGGGAGCCTCCCACCAGAGCTACAAAGACGCCGGGTGTGAGTGTGGGCGTGGGGCACTCGTGTGTGGCACCCCAACCATGCTCTCTGCTTTGTAGTCATGCTGCCTGAGTTCGAACTGAGCTATTTGCTGTACTCATTAAAGGACAGACCATTGGAAGTATTTAAAACCAAGTGCCCTGCAATTTTCCAAGTCGTGATGGCTTCCCACAGGCTGAGGAGAAAGAGGGTTTCTCGGTGGCCACCAGGAGAGCAGAGAGGAAGGGCAGAAAGCTGCGCTAAGAAACGGAAGGTCAAGGTGCTGGTGTGAAAGGGGGTGCTGTTTATTTTCTTCAGGAGGGGTCTCCCCCCTCCTCCCCTTTCTTTCTCTGTCTTTCTTTTTTGCTTTCATCTCTAATTGTGTTTTGCAGCTGTCCACTTACTAGATGGCAAGGCACTATGAAGACCTAGCAAGCTCAACTGAGGACCCCATTGGGCCATAAAACCTATTCGATTTGTCCAGCTCTCTATAGAAACTCCCATCAGGGAGGCTCTGGGGTTAGAAAGGCTGGGGATCAACAGAGTCTGCGCGTCTTCCTGTTTTACAAGATGTACACATTTGAAATATTTGAAATACTCATATATCAGAACTGCAGAGCCAGGCAATGTGAAGAGTGGTGCCTGCGTGCGTGTGCGTGTGCGTGTGCGTGTGCGTGTGCGTGTGCGTGTGTGTGTGTGTGTGTGTGTGTGTGTGTGTGTGTGTGTGTGTTAACCCAAGACCCTCTTGCACGCTGAGTAAGCACTCCACCACTGAGCCCCACCCTCAGCCCCAAGAACAGTATCTCGGAATGTTCGCTCATATTAAGGAAATGTAGTCACACAAGCTCCTGGTCATGCTATTCCTACACACCAATCTTTATTTTTCTTTTAAAGAAACAGGACAACAGTTGTAGCTAGTTTGTGTTTAAACAGCTAAGAACCATTTAAAACTTGGTACATTTTCAGGCAAATTTTGCTTCCTAACAATATTCTGATTCAAAATTAAAGAAAATAAAGTCCCTATTAGGGATGTTCCTCAGTGGATAGAGGGCTTGGCCTAGTACACCAAAGTTCATGGGTTCAATCCCCGGTACCACCTACCACGGGGTGGTGGGCGTGGCTCAAGGCCTGTAATCTCAGACGTTCCAGAGATGGAAGTTAGTGGGTGACCCCATGCTCATCCTCTGGCTGAGCCAGTCCGAGGCCCACTCAGGATAAATTTCACCCTCGCCAAAAAAATTCCTAGGTGTGTCTCTGCATGTTATCGGCATATTTAAACTTTGATGAGAGGACATTCAAAATTAGTGCCTGGAAATTGCCTTGAATGATTCTGTTTTGAAATGAGACACAAACTTTGTAATTGCCAAAGTGAGTTCTTACTGGATTTTGTCAAACTCTCCTCATGAGTAAACTTCATTTGTTTGTTATTCTTTGGTGCTAGGGATTGAACCAGGGCCTCTTGTATTGTAGCATGACCTCTACAATGGAGCTACACCCCAGAAAGCCTAGAACATGAAAAACAAAGATAAAATTATTTCCCCAAACGAACTGCTGCTGACTTAAAAGGAGTGTGAGACTTGAGAAAACGGTGGGTTTAGGTTTTTGTGGGGAGGGGGTTGTTTGCTGCTTGTTCATCTGTTTCAAGGACTGAACCCAGGCCCTCACACTGGCTTGGTACCCATTCTGTCATGAGTCCTCATCCCCCCAGAAGGAGGTTCTTGGTTCCAGGACCCCAGGCCTGTGAAAGCATGTTTGGCTGGAGAGATAAGATCATGTTTTCTTACTAATGATGGAGGCATTGCCTGTGCTGTAATTACACAGACGGGGTCACTTCACAGGAAGCTCTGCCTGCTTAAGGACAGCTATGGAAAACATCACAGGTTCTTTTACTGTAGGTCTGTAATCCTGGCTCCTCACTCTCTCGTGAAAGGAGTTCGGAGAGCTGGCAGAAAATCGCTGGCTAAGGGAAGCCAACGTTGAGACTTGCCGTGGAGCACACAGGCGCAAAAACAGAAGGCCATGTGTGCGTAATTTGGTCGGCCGCGTCTAACAGCTTAATCTGGTGTTGCTCATCCCTCACACTCACCGGCCCCCGCCCTACATAAATAGGGCTCAGCCCAGTTACTCACCTAGTTCCCCTTGGCAGATGTCCGTGCGCGTGGCTCCACCAACAATAAACTGAGGGTTGGGACACAATTCCTGAAAGTGGTTTAGGAGGAAACACATGTCAGAGGATGCTGTACAATGGTGGAGGCGGCGTAAGGGAAGACATCAGTGCAGAATTCAGACCTGGAAGAAGCCTAGCAGCTCGCCTACTACTACGTAGACACACGTGCTTTCCCTCCTCTCGCGGGTCTGTGAGACCAGAGAGGGGAAGACACCACAGTCACACAGCTACCGGTCCACAGGACAAAAGCTGGAGCCCAGAGCTCCCGTCATGACCAGGATCCTGTCTGCTGTGCACACCAGGTGTGTGGGCATGTGTCTAAGAGGGTGTGGTTGGAGAAAGGCAAGGGCTGAGATGATATGACCCTGCCCAGGCTGAGATACTAATACAATGAGATATGACCCCGCCCAGGCTGAGATACTAATACAATGAGATATGACCCCGCCCGTTTGGACAACACCCCTCTTCACCCAGAGAGCCAGGGAGAGGGCAATGCACTGTGGACATTCCTTAAACACGTGACTAAGCAGCAAGGACCTTGTAGCTGATCCAACCCCGAGGGTGCCAGGGAGGAAGCCAGGAATCAAGGATGAGGTGTCAGGGAGTACCAGTTCCAGACAGGAGAACTCAGATCTGATAAGGTCATATGCACGCCTATATCTGCCATTTACCAGCTTCCACTTGGCATCTGCCCACGTGTGACGTCACTCTGGACCAGAGTGGTATGTGTTCAACCTTTTTTCTTTTGTTTACCCAGGAGGGTCCTACTGGGCCCCGTTTCACAGCAGGCAGGGGAGATGGAAGGGTGGTGACAGTGAAGAAACAGAAAGGTTGACCTCTGGCCTCTATGTGCTTTTGGTGTACACAGGCAGATCAAGCTGACATTATTGAGAAACAGAGTAAAAAAATTTTTTTTGAAAAAGAGTCATATTAAAAGTCCAGGGGGAATTCTGGCTGACCAGCCGGCCACGTGAACACGATGGCTGTCTGCTATAAAGGCGGGCTCTGGTACAGTCATCCTGGACACAAGACAAATCGTTAAGGGTAAAGTGTGGGACCTCAAGTGACCAAAGGGAACTTGGACGACGCTCACTGAGAGGCATCAAACCGGAGGGTTGCAAGGGAGGGGTGGCTGGCTACACAGTAGAGTCATTGCTTACTCCACAGACGTGAAGAAATGATAGATGCCACATGATGAGAGAGCAAGAGACTGAGCTGAGCAAAAAGGGCAGAGGCCAGGGGGAGCTGTGAACAGGAGTTCTAGGATCCTACTACAGGAGATAGAACCTTCTGGAAGGCAGCCAATATAAACCTGTCAGCTCATGCCTAGATGGCCAGAAACAGCCCCTCTCCCTTAACACCCCCTCTCTCCTACCCCAACTATTATGTTTTATTTACAAAATTTCCCCACCCGGAAAAACATAACTATGACCGATACATTACATGGATCCTTCAAGGGCCACAGAAAGTCCTCACTCCACAATTCACAGGGAGAAAAGACCTCTGCAAGACACAAGAACTTGCTCTATGCCTTCTCCACCATTAATCCCCAAAGCAGATATAGAGTAAGCAGGCAGTCGGAGAGATTTAAAAGATGGAGACCTGCAGAAAGGCAGGTGTTGTGGAATACTCCTTTGCGCTGTGTGAAGATGTGTCACTGTGATTGGTTTAATAAAGAGCTAAACGGCCAATAGCTAGGCAGGAGTATAGCAGGAACTTCTGGACAGAGAGAGCTCTGGGAAGAAAGGAGGGATTGCCAGCTGGACTTAGAGGAAGCATGAAACGTAGGAGACAGGACAACAAGCCATGAGCCATGTGATGGCACGTAAATGAATAGAAATGGGTTAATTTAAGTTATAAGAGCTAGTTAGAAACAAACCTAAGCCACCGGCAGTACTTTCAGGATTAATAAGAAGTCTCCATGTCCTTTATTTGGGAGCTGGGAGCTGGGACAGAGAAAGCCTTGCTACAGGCCAGCACCCATTTGCCTACATATTTGGACTGCTTTTTTTTTTTCTTCTTTAGCACCAGTCATTTGTGACTGGGACAATGCTTCTTGGTCATCAAGTAATGATCCCAAGCACTCCTTAACACAAACTACCCATGTTTTGCACTGGCCCCAGAAAAATGGGAAGACAGGAAACAGTAGTCCTTATTTCCTGTAAGGAACTCAAGACTTGGAAGGGCTGTGAAAGTACACACTCTCAGGAGTGGTGGCCCTCAGGAGCTTTGCTCTCCAGGACAGTGACGGGTAGACTTGCTTTGGCATTTGCAGGGCTGTCAAGAAGCCCAATGGTGCCATTATCCTCACCCCAAACCACATCACACCACCCAGCTCTTGTGACCCTCCAGGAACTGGTCCACTGAATGATTCTAGCTTTGCCCGTTTGCCTCCGTGTGTTATCTAACAACCATGGACCATCGCCTCCTCTGGACACTCTTGCTTGCACGCTCTTCCACAGCCCAGAGCCTTGGCCCACATCCAGGCCTTCTGCTTGACCTCACCTATGACCTCTTTCTCCACCAATCCTAGCTCAACTGTCATGCATAATTTTCCTGTCCAATTCCACACTCAAGCTTCCCTGCTGAGCTCCCATGCATTTTGTTCACTGAATAGTTTTCTCTCTGTCCAGTCCGTCATGTGATACTCTCTAGAGATAGCTCACTTTCTAAATGTTCCCATATTCTTTCATCCAGCTTTCCTCATCACTCAAGGAGGTGGGAACTAGTACTGTTGTTCTCAGTTCATGGATGAGGAAACAGGCTCTCGGAGTGGTTAATAGCTTACCCAAGTCACTCAGCTAGTGAGTGATAGACAATGGACCAGAACCTTGACACCCAAGCCCATGTTTGTCTCCACTCCAATGTCTCTCAGTTGTCTGCCTAGTCTCTGTCCCTCCTTACTAACTAAAGCTCCTCCCCACACAGGACAAGTGCACAGCAGATCATGACTGAACTGGAAACTCCAAAGCTACGAATCCAACAGGTAGTAGCTGGAGAAAAGATGGAACCTCCAAACGGAGCCTACCACCATCTCTTAACCCTCCAACAATTCAACCCTCCACGTGTCTGTCAGCCAGGGTCCTTATCGTGTGCCTGGCATGACTTCACTCCTGACTCCATAGTTCTCCTTAAGATCAATAAACCGGGAGGCAGAGGCAGGTGGATCTCTTTGAGTTCAAGGCCAGCCTGGTCTACAGAGCGAGTTCCAGGACAGCCTCCAAAACAATACAGAGAAACCCTATCTCAAAAAACAAAACAAAAACAAAAACAATAAACTGTTTAGTTGCTGGGGGCAGAGCACCAGACAGAGAGGAATATTGACCAGGCTGCTCTAAGTCCATCCACACTGGATATTAAGCACTTTACAGGGGCTTAGGACGGACCCCGATCCCAGATGGCGAGGCAAGAAGCTAAGGGCACTGGGACCAGCACGACCAGCCACTGTCTCTGTGGGCTGGCCTCTGCTCTTGCCCCACATAAACAGGAAAACCATAGGGGATTTCAGCCTCCCAACAGCAAGTTCTTGAGAACCCAGGTCTGATTGTGCGACCTTCACCTAGACAACTGTGTCTTCCATTCCTTGGGGCAAGAGCCTAGGTGGACCTTCTACTTAGAAGTTTAAGAATAGGCAGAAACAAAGTGACTATGTTTCTCCTGGGCGTGTAGCCAGAAAGAAATCACAGTCAGCTAAGATAGTGACAACTGGACACCCATGTTTATTATAGCACTAGTCACAATAGTCATGATATGGAATCGGCCAGGGTATCCATTTGCAAATGGATGAATAAAAAATATTGTATACTTATGCAGGGCGTGTGTGTGTGTGTGTGTGTGTGTGTGTGTGTGTGTACATTGGAGTATCATTCACCATAAAGAAGACCACAATCATGTCATTTGCAGGAAAATGAACAAAAGTAAATATCATTTTAAGTGAAATGAGCCAAACTCACAAACAAATATTACATATTTTCCCTTGTGTGTAGAACTTGGGGAAGTATAGAAGTAAAGGGATGGCTGTCTGGGTGTGGACAGGGAAATAAAACACCCTAATTTGTAGAATTAGTAGATTTTTAAAAAAATTAGCAGTTCCCAAACTAAATAAAGATTTATCCTCAAAAAGTAGCAAATTAAATGAAGAAACAAAAAGCAAACCGTACCATTGAAAAATGGGCAAAGGGCTTGAATGGGGCACTTCTCAAGATGAAAAGATACAGCATCCATAATCATCATGGAAATGCAAATCAAGACCACAGTGTGACCGCACCCGTGCCCTTGAGGATGGCTTCCTCTGCTCCTCTCCACGCTCCATCCCTGATGGAGCCCTCCATGACCTTCAGTGACCCTGTCCCTCTCAGCAGTGACTCTACCACAGTTTGCCCATGGTTGACTGTGTCTGACCTTGGCGTGTTCCCCTGTGTGCTGGCCTGGGGCACTGTGCAGTTCTAAGTACTGTGCATTCTGTGCCTCTTACTTGCAATTACCCTCCGAGATTGAGTTCTAGTTCTCATAGCAACACTGACACACAATGTTCCAGCAGCGCCGTTTGAAGGGCAGAAAATCTTCCCAAGGCCGCATCAGCAGAGCCACTACTGAGATCTACCCCATGCAGCTCCAAACCTGTGTGTGTTCCTCCTTAGAAACAATTTCAGAAAGCAAGGTGGAGTCAGAACTATGGGATCCGAAAATGGATCCCACCACTGTCACTTTCGTCAACTCTTGACCAGACGTGACAGCCATCCACCCTGTGTGACCTCCAACGGTGCCTTACCGTGGGTCGCTTCCATAAGACGCCTTGAGTCTGGGGGGAGCCGGGTCTGAGATCCTTGTAGCCCAAAGCTGACGGACACGCTGGGAACTCCGGATCTTTAAATAGGACCCCTGAGCTCAAGCATTGCTTCCTCAGGGTCTCAAAGTCTTGCCCCAAATACTTCACGGCATTCTGGTTCGAGCCAAGCCCCTCGGCAGCTGCGCGTTGCTTGGACACTCTGGCTGCCAGGGCTGCCATGGCCTGTAGGAGGGACAGCAAAGCAGGGCTTCTGTGTCTTCTCAGACATCTGCCCCGTGGGGCTGCTGCCCTATAAGGCAGCGTGAAGGGAGGTGGGGCGTGTAAACTTCTCACCTGAGGGAGGCCCTGCTCCAAAGACACATGAGTCATCAACAGGATCAAATATGTACTGGGCAAATCTGCCCCACCCTCTCCTGCTGTTCACACACTCCTCGGAGGCACGGGTGGAGGATATCAGAAGTCACTGGAAGCTGGATAGGACAGGGGCTCTGTCCTCCCCCAGAACCTCTGCAAGGAGTGACCCTGCCCATACCTTGGTTTTAGTCCGGTGTAGGTAACTTAGGACTGTGGGTCTTCAGGACAGAAAGTCCATAGCCCTCAGTTCTTTCCATCATTAAAGTGTGGTTTGTCTGCATGTGTGCCTGTGCACTACAGGTGTGCAGTGCCCGTGGAGGCCAGAAGAGGGCGTCAGAGTCCCAGAACTGGAGTTACAGAGAGCTGTTAGCTTCCATGTGGGTGCTAGGAATCCAGCCCAAGCCCTCTGGAAAAGCAGCCAGTGCTCTTACCCCTGAGCCATCTCTCCAACCCCCAACTTCTGCTCTTTTTGGTCATTCCATTTGTTTTTATTTGTTACAGAAGACACAGGCAACTAATGCAGTGTGACAAGAATTCCCTGGACCTCTTACTTACAAGGCAGGCTCTCTAATAGCCTGAACCATTGCCACCATCTCTGAGGGAGTTCCTGTGGGAGGAGGCTGTAAGATGTCTCAGTGGGTAGAGGACTTGCCACACAAGCACAGAAATCTACATTCAGAGGTAAAGATAGGAGGATAAGAAGTCCAAGGTCATCTTGGGCTACATAGTGAGTTCAAAGCCAGCCTAGGCTGCATGAGATCCTGCCTCTAAACTGAAATAAAACAAAATATAAAATAATCATGATTCAGTAGATCTTGGGTAAGACTCAAGAACCCACAGTCTTTAGACCATTATCCCACAGATGATTCTAGTACAAGGGTTCACACTGGACTATGAGCCAGGTGGTCTCTGAGGCCTACAGATCCTCGTCCTTCATGCTGCTGGTAAACCATGTGTCCAGCCCTGAGCTAGGTACTTCTGAGTGAAAGCCCATGAGCCTCTCCATGCATGAAAAAGAAAAGAACTTAGTTTCTAAGGATTGATCAGAAATACAAGGTCACAATGACCTTCAGAGCATCAAGTCAGTTATCTGAAGGACTTGACTCTCCTCTTTATCCCCTCAAAACTCCTTTTCCTTTGAATCAATACTCTCCCACTGTCCGACTCATTGATCATTCCCAGTTCAGTTTTCACCCATGCACAATGTTCGCCCAACCTTTCTTTAAACCAGAGTCCTAGCTCCATCCCATCCCTTGAAGTTGCCTGGAACACTGACGATTCTAGAAGCCCCGCATCTTTGAGTGGCTAGTGGGGGAAGGGCTTGTTCTTATTTCTGACTCTGTCCCCTAATTATCTGACACTCGTGATGAGTCACAAGCAACAACGTGGCCATTTCAAACCCAGATCTGGCCACCACCAGAAATCTTAGAAGGGAATGGGTCTTCTGCACGGCTCGCGGGAGCCCAAGCACACTGGCCCTGTTGGCTTTGCCAACTGTCTCCATGTCTCTCCTTCCTCCGTGATCTCCCACAGAAGACTGGATTTGTTTCTAGGGTGTTACGCTCGTCCCTCCTCAGGGCTTTGCCCGTGCTGTTCCTGCCAACTTAAAATGTTCTGCTCTGCCCTCTGCTTAGTCTTCAGACCTGTGCCTCAGGAGAGGTTTTCCCCAGCCTCATCCCTCAGATTTGGCCACCACCCCCTTTTACACTATCAGATAAGAATGCAAGGCCGTGCCCAGCACAGACTCCTGCAACCAGTGAATCAAAGCCCCTGTGCACCATCAGTCCTGGCGTTCCACGAGGACACTTATCAGGGCTGGCTTTATTTGTCATTTAATCCCTGGATCCCAGGATTCTTCCAGAAACCCAGTTACGTGTTTGTTACGTGAAGAAACAACCATAAATCAAGATGTCCAGTAGCTGAGTAGATCTAAACCAGATATTTCAGGCCTGGCAACCCCACGCAGGGCCACTAGTTAATTAATAAAGACCTCAGAGGAGTGCTTTTCTGCCTGGTTCTTCCCTATGCTTCCCCAAAGCATTCCCCTCAGACTGACAGAAACAAGCAAGTCCTCTCTCCTCCAAGCACGGAGACAGAGCATCTGGTAATTTTGCTTCCCCATGAGGGAGCTCCTTTGGGGTTAGCTGTCTACCCTTCCTTCCCGCTCCCCTTCCTAAATTGCCTCACTCCTGATCCAGACACCATACCACCAAGCCCTTCCTCATCATGCAGGCAGGTCCGAGCTGCTGCAAATAGAGCCCTCTTTTGCCCAGTCACGAAATGAATGGTGACTGGAGAAGGGAGGCCTTGCTCACCATCCCCTCTTGATTAGACAGCCAGTGTCTACCTGTTATCCAGCCAGGCACCACGGAGGAAGCAGCCTGTTCCCACCATCTCTGTCCATCTGGACAGATGTCTTCCCAACCTCATGCCTGGGACAGCTGCAAGAGCCAGAGCCAGCTCCCTGCCAGGAAGCCTCAGGATCCATGACAGAGACAAGGAGTCTGTGCGCCCACCTGCCTGGCAGCCCCTACTTAATAAGAACAGCTCTTGGCAAACAGCCCAAGTGCACATCAGCCAAGTCAGTCCCTGAGCCTTGCCCACGGACAAGCCCTCCACTGCTACGGGGAGCCACGCAGTAGTACTCCCCTCAGCAAGAAAGATGAATCACCCTGGTTGCACCCAAGGGCCCAAGTATGCTTCTCGGGCAATTAAAGTCTGCAAAGCTTGTTGTCTTGCGTAACTCCAGCACTGGGAAGAGATGGGTGAAAGCTGGCAGATTTGTCCCCTGAGCCTCCCATGTTCAGAATGCTAAGGGAAGCAGGGCTTGGCCTCGGTGTCGAGAGCATTCTGGGGTTCTCATAGGCGGCTGGCAGAAATGGAAACCAGCACAGATGTTTTGGGAAACAGTCTGGCAGTTTTGCAAAATGCCAGACGTGGAGTTGCATGGTAACTCCCAGCCGCACTCCACAGTTAGCAAGAATCAAGAAAGAATAGAAAGTTAATGTCTGTTCAAACCTCGTGCACAGATGCTTGCACAATGAAGAGTTCTCCATAACAGCCAAAGGGCAGAAATGAACAGCCACCAATCAATGGGTGAGCAGATAAATAAAATGTACTACATTCAGGAAGCAGAATAGTATTTAGTCCTAAAAATGAGTGCAGCGCCGAGGTGTGGTGTCGTATACCTAGGACGTCAGCACTTGGGAGGCAAGGCAAAGGTCGGAGGATCATGAGCTCAAGGATAGCCCAGATGACCCAGCAAGACCCAATGACTGGCAGGGGACAAGGGTTGCTCACAGTACAACACCCAGCAAGGCCCTGGATTCTATCCCCCAGGAGTGAAATACTGCTGCATGCATGAAAACTGTATGCAAATTAGACAAAGCTAATCATCAAAGGCATGTCACTCTCAAAGTCACTGCAATGAAGCATCTAACAATCAAGTTTCAAAGTTTTCCTCCTTCTTGGCAGGGAGAGCCTGAAAGCAGAGCGGCTTAAGTCATGACAGTCCCAGAGCGAGAGTGACTGCCCTCTAGAAGGCTCTCCCAGCCTACGGGATGGTGCCATCCATATTCAAAGCAGGGTTTTCCCCCTTAGTTAGCAGTCTCTAGAAATGCCTTCACACACCCAAGAGTGCTTTTATTCATCTCTAAGGCACTGCTCAATCTAGTCAGGTTGACATCAAGTTTAACCATCATGTCCAGTTATGTGAGACTTCCAAGCTGGTAAAGTCATAGAGGCAGAAAGTGACTGCCAGGAACTTGGAAGATGGGGGATTGCAACTGACCGCTGCAAGGTCCACGGCTTCTTTTTTGTGGTGATAGACTTAGCTAGAGCCAGTGATCGTACAACTAAAAGTCACGCCTTAAATGGATGCCTGAAAATGATGATGCTTGTGTTGTGCTAAATACATCTCAAAATCTAAGTAGAGTTGAATATTGTGACTCATGCTTGGAATGTCAGTGCTCAGAAGGCTAATGCAGCCTGAGCTGCAGAGTGAATTTGATACCACACTAGATGGCATAATAATGAGGGGGAGGGTGTGGGGAGGATGAAGGAGGGGGAGGGGGATGAGGAAGGAAGGAAGGAAAATATTACAGATGGAAGACTTGCAGTGATCTGAGTACAACGCTGGGTTCCCATCTGCCCAGAAGACCTAATGGCCTGTTACGCAGCAGGGTTCTGAGGCTGTGCGTAGAACCTTCTCTAGCCACACCAGAGAAAAGAGAAAGCTGACCAAGTGACAGTATTGGGGTATATCCCTCACCAGCTCTCTGAGACCACTTATGGCACCTTGGGGTTATACTTCAGGCCCCAATCAATCCCAGACGAGAGACTGGCTGAGATTGCCCTCCAGTGGCCAAGGCAGGTACTGCTGAACCACTGTGGCTAAGAGAAGGTGATAAACCATTGATTGGAATAAACGAGGTTTACACAGAGCTTTTACAGCCATTGGTTGATCAAACTCACAGCAAGCCCATAGCCAGACTCCCCCAAGATCACTCAGGTAATGAATTTGTGTCCAAAATCTTCTGATTTGATGTTTTGGTATCTTTCCACCACTAAGACCGAGGCATACGGATAACAGGAAGTAATGGGATGCGCCTCCACAAGAACACTAAGAAGGCAATGAGTACATGTGAGCAGAGGAAGAAAGAACAAATAAAAGTGGCCTGTCCCTACCAAACTTCAGTGCCAAGACAAGACAGGGTAGCACTCAAGAACAGAGCGATGAGCTCTGAGGCCGATGAGTAACAAGGAGGTGTTCAGGGAAGAGGCGCATTCCAGTTATGAAAGGGCGTAAGGGTAGGGATTTGGGGGAAAGGCAGTGAGAATCAAGCATATGGGCCGTGAGGTTGGGAGCGGGCAGAATAGCAATGACAATGAGGAGG